GAGCTGTATAGGAGGTACACTGCATGTCCCAGAATTAGATCCTGAACATTGCACAAATTATGCAAGAAACCCAGCATTATAACTCTGCATTTTATCAGTCTCCACGGTCTTTGTGAACAAATAAATTATTCCTGCACTGTGTGTTGATCTTTGAGGACTTACCCACTGGGTTCTGAGTATTTTTGAAAGTAGAGCCTGGGATACTAATGAGACAGTTTTACTCCAGCACTAGCCAGCACTGTGACATTTATGTCCTGATTAGATCACAATCTGATGAGACTGAGGAGACATGGCAGTACGTCATCTTCAGGCTTTTAACACTGACTGGCGTCTGAAGACTTCAGTTTGGCACCATCTCTGCACTTTTGGAAACTAAACTAAAAGCACAATTTGAGTGGAATTCCATTCCAACTGCCCCAGACAAATATAAAGAAAACCATTCCCATCCTGCCCACCACGTTTCAATACTCCAGAATGTGTACTCCTGCTGCTGTTTCATTATATTATATAGAATGTGCTGTGAGGTTCAGATGTGTTAGGGGAAAAAGCAGACAGATTAATTCATGGCTTCACTCCAGCTCTTTTTGTATTATCCCAGAGGAACAAAGGGGTCATAAACCAGCCAGATTTAGCCCACAGGGAAATCCTTTGTCATGACATAGAACTTCTGGAACAGCTGTATGCTTCCCCCTCTCTTGCAGCTCCCAGTATAGGGGCTCTGGTTGCTACACACTGGCTGTCCTTGACTGCTGGTTGACAGCTAAGCACCCTGAGTCTCCTCTAAATTGGGCTAGAGGCTGAAGTAGTCTAGGATTAGCTCAAGAATTTGAGACGTGTAACTGTGCTTTAAAGACATATTTGTCTCCCCTCCCATAGATGTTGCACCGAATGGAGGTCATCTGACCCCAAAGTCACTAATAACAAATAAGCTTACATTGACTTAGTGATAGACTTGCAAATATATACAGTTTACCTGTATGTCTCCCATGGGAATATGACCTATATAGGACATGCCACAATGCATGACTCACATTTATTTCTTTGCTTTGGGTTGATCATGTAAACAGAAACAAATGTCTGACCAAAAAAAAAAAAAAAAGGACTAAAAATAATAAAATTACATCATGCTGAACCATGGATAATAATCATTTGACATGTCTGGTAAATACAGACAGATTCTTAGTTGAAACAATGGAATCCATTCAATCCGCACCTTGATAAAAAACCACATCTGCTTCACTGGCTTGATTACGTATGTTTTCAGTGTCTCTCAGCAATGGCTGTGCTGCACACCAAGCCAGTTTAAAATGACTTGCCTCCTGCTGTCTGCAAACCTACAGTAATTTACAAGTGTGAATGATGTATCCTGGCAAACAGCTTCCTACTGTGTGGTCCTCTTGTCAGGCTACTTAACTTATTACTCATCTGCAGTAGGGTACTTGGTGCTGTACTATCATAGCGAAGGGCATGGCTCCACCCCTCCAGGAGTTCACAATCTAAATGAGTTGCTTGTACATTAACCTAGTTTTTGAATATTTTAATACAGGAAGGAGCTTTGCTGCTTTAAGCATCATGGACATCACAAAACCCACTTTCAGTCTAAAGTGCTTTTCATTTAGGGTTGGTCTACACTGGAAACTTACATCAGCATAGATATGTCATTCAGAGATGTGAAAAGAAAAGGAGTACTTGTGGCACCTTAGAGACTAACCAATTTATTTGAGCATAAGCTTTCGTGAGCTACAGCTCACTTCATCGGATGCATACTGTGGAAAGTGTAGAAGATCTTTTTATACACACAAAGCATGAAAAAATACCTCCCCCCACCCCACTCTCCTGCTGGTAATAGCTTATCTAAAGTGATCACTCTACTTACAATGTGTATGATAATCAAGTTGGGCCATTTCCAGCACAAATCCAGGTTTTCTCTCCCCCCCGCCCCCCCCCACACACAAACCCACTCTCCTGTTGGTAATAAAACTACAATCCATCAGTGATCTTCCTGATAACACCATCCTGGCCACTATGGATGTAGAAGCCCTCTACACCAACATTCCACACAAAGATGGACTACAAGCCGTCAAGAACACTATCCCCAATAATGTCACGGCTAACCTGGTGGCTGAACTTTGTGACTTTGTCCTTACCCATAACTATTTTACATTTGGGGACAATGTATACCTTCAAATCAGCGGCGCTGCTATGGGTACCAGCATGGCCCCACAGTATGCCAACATTTTTATGGCTGACTTAGAACAATGCTTCCTCAGCTCTCGTCCCCTAACGCCCCTACTCTACTTGCGCTATATTGATGACATCTTCATCATCTGGACCCATGGAAAAGAAGCCCTTCAGGAATTCCACCATGATTTCAACAATTTCCATCCCACCATCAACCTCAGCCTGGTGCAGTCCACACAAGAGATCCACTTTCTGGACACTACAGTGTTAATAAACGATGGTCACATAAACACCACCCTATACCGGAAACCTACTGACCGCTATTCCTTCCTACATGCCTCCAGCTTTCACCCTGACCATACCACACGATCCATTGTCTACAGCCAAGCTCTGCGATACAACCGCATTTGCTCCAACCCCTCAGACAGAGACAAACACCTACAAGATCTCTATCAAGCATTCTTACAACTACAATACCCACCTGCGGAAGTGAAGAAACAGATTGATAGAGCCAGAAGAGTTCCCAGAAGTCACCTACTACAGGACAGGCCTAACAAAGAAAATAACAGAACGCCCCTAGCCATCACCTTCAGCCCCCAACTAAAACCCCTCTAACGCATTATTAAGGATCTACAACCCATCCTGAAGGATGACCCAACACTCTCACAAATCTTGGGAGACAGGCCAGTCCTTGCCTACAGACAGCCCCCCAACCTGAAGCAAATACTCACCAGCAACCACATACCACACAACAGAACCACTAACCCAGGAACCTATCCTTGCAACAAAGCCCGTTGCCAACTGTGCCCACATATCTATTCAGAGGACACCATCACAGGGCCTAATAACATCAGCCACACTATTAGAGGCTCATTCACCTGCACATCCACCAATGTGATATATGCCATCATGTGCCAGCAATGCCCCTCTGCCATGTGCGTTGGTCAAACTGGACAGTCTCTACGTAAAAGAATAAATGGCCACAAATCAGATGTCAAGAATTATAACATTCATAAACCAGTCGGAGAACACTTCAATCTCTCTGGTCACGCGATTACAGACATGAAAGTTTGGATATTACAACAAAAAAACTTCAAATCCAGACTCCAGCGAGAGACTGCTGAATTGGAATTCATTTGCAAATTGGATACAATTAACTTAGGTTACCTTGCATAATGACTTAGCCACTCCCAGTCTCTATTCAAGCCTATTTCCCCTTGTTTTTTCCTACCCCCCCCCCCCCGACCCCTGCAGACGTTCTTGTTAAACCCTGGATTTGTGCTGGAAATGGACCACCTTGATCATCATACACATTGTAAGGAGAGTGGTCACTTTAGATAAGCTATTACCAACAGGAGAGTGGGTTTGTGTGTGTGTGTGGGGGGGGGGGGGAAAGAAAACCTGGATTTGTGCTGGAAATGGCCCAACTTGATTATCATACACATTGCAAGGAGGGTGATCACTTTAGATAAGCTATTACCAGCAAGAGAGTGGAGTGGGGGGAGGTATTTTTTCATGCTTTGTGTGTATAAAAAGATCTTCTACACTTTCCACAGTATGCATCCGATGAAGTGAACTGTAGCTCACGAAAGCTTATGCTCAAATAAATTGGTTAGTCTCTAAGGTGCCACAAGTACTCCTTTTCTTTTTGCGAATACAGACTAACACGGCTGTTACTCTGAAATCAGAGATGTGAAAAATCCACCCCCTGAGAGACCTAGCTATGCTGACCTATCCCCTGGTGTAGATAGTGTTAGGTCAACAGAATAATTCTTCCATCAACCTACCTACCGCTTCTTGAGGAGGTGGATTAATTACAGTGACAAGAGAAACCCTCCTATTTCTGTAGTGTCTACATGGAAGTGCTACCATGCTGCCACTGTAGCATTTTCAGTGTAGATATAGCCTGAAATTAAAGAACCACAACAAGCAAAAGAACAACTAGAAAATGTCCAGGAGAGAGAGCACAGAGTGTGCGCCTCCCTCTGCATGGTTTTCCAATCCCATCGCAGCCCTGCTACCTAGCAGAAAAGTAGGATAGGCTTCTTTTAATTAAAACTGTTGTACAGAGAAAATAGAATCATAGCTACATTCAGCACAGACATGTTTCCTAGTGCCTCACATATGTGGTACATTGGGCAAAATGAATCTGCGGTGTAACACTTTTGAAGTGATGACATTCCATAGAATCTGACAGCCATAGGATCTGACGTTCCATAGAATCTTAAGTTAAAAATGCCCACTTACAAAGCAGTACCAGAGTCAAGGACATATGTGTTATACTCGGAGAATCTGATTTTGATCTTATTTACAATGGTATAAATCAGGAGTCACTCCCTTGTAGTTAGTGAATTTACACCACCATAAAACCAGTGTAAGATCAGAATCAACTCCAAATAACGTCTCAGCTTCTCGAAGCAGACAGCCTCACTGCTTCACGACACAGCCAAGGCACACTAACACACACTCCAACAATTGATGGCCAAACATTCTTTCTGAAACATTTATCATTTCCAAACATATTTATCTTTAGAGTAAATAAGTTTTGTGTTAAATAGTGGCTGCTCACTGCTAAAATATTCACTTCATACTTATCACCTTGTGGCAGAGTTATGCGTGCCATACCACTTGTCTTTCACAGCAGGTCTTAAAAGTTTGAAGTCTTAATCTGTTTGTGGTGACCTTTTAAATTCCAGTGTAAAGCTCACTCACAAACTTAATGCTTGCTAATAAACTATCAGATTTTTAACAGCCAGGTGGCATGTTTTTTCCCCAGTGGACTGGCATGGGCTGTATGCACTGTCACATTAGTAGCAAACATTAAAGAAGACTTCTGTTCTGCCCAAACCATTTAAACAGGTAAGAGTTCTGTCCCTTTGTGTAAAATTTTTCCCTCCCTTCTCCCCTGTTCCCCTATTTACATTTCTATGAACAGTTGTTAGTTTCTGCATTGCCTTGCTGACCTCAAGTAAACCCCAAATTACCAGGTTTTAAAGAAGAAGAGGTTACCTAAACCTTCAACCTTCGAATCTATAGCAATCTAAATAAATAAAACAAAACAGAATGGCTCACAGATGTTTCCTAAAGAAGATATAAACAAGGAAAATGAGCAGTGAGACTTTCCTTTCTAACACTGTAATGAGTTTATTAGTTCAACAAACATGACTTCTGAGCAGGACACCCCTTTCTGAAAGATTGTTTAAGCTGAAACATTTATTTCCTGAGCAGCTGACTCACTTGATAAGATGCTCCCCAATGACATCACTGTGTGTTGAACAGATAACAAAAGCTTTGGATCGTATAAAGTTGCATGGTTTAGATGGTTCTTGACCTTTTGTGTGTGGATAGTGATTAGTTTCTAACATATCTACAGGCATGCTGAAAGCTTTTTGTATCATAGTCAAGAAAAATAACACTGATGTCATTTAAAACTGGTGCAGAGTTTTTTATATCCTAATATAGATATGAAATCTGTGGTTAGATTTTAATGATCAGTCTGCAGAGTTGCCTAAAATCGTCTCTTTTACGTCCATTTAGTTAAAAGATGTAAATTATTTCTGTGGTATGTTAAAGATTACTCTAATATGGGAAAAGATCAAGACTGCCACTCCCTATTCCCAACATAATCTGATTTTAGTAAACTGAGAAAAAGTGTTGATAAATCATGTTAGCTCCCAGAAATCTAGATGGGGGCTTGCTGATTTTTCTGGGGCCTTATGATACTAAATGATGATTACAAATGTAAGTGAATCTTTTGTCATTATGCTACTGGACCTCATGCTGTACTGAAGATGTGTTACAGAAAAATACTTGTTATGAACAGAATATTTACAGTGGACTGCAGTGGATTTCTAACGGACTTCACTAATGCAGTGTTGTGCTATTTCATTAATGGGATAAAACTTCTATTATTTTCTCAAATATCCCAAGACAATGGCTTCTGGGAGGTCCAGACACTTTCTTGAACTCAGAGATGTGTGGGGTTTTTTTAAAATGATTTTTCTTTAGTGGCCTTCTCAGAATTGAGATCTCTCATGGCTAGTGATACCTGAATGGCTGGCTTGATAAGATTGTCTCTAATGACATTGCTATCAGCTGTGAGTCTAAAAAAGAGAGGGTTAGTGTCATATATTCAAAGATCAGTTAGAGAAATGTTTTTGATGAGTTAAGTTTGTCTGCTTTTAGCGTCTATGTTAATCTATGTTTCCTAGGATTTAAGTGCATTGTATGATGTGAGTTGTGAAAATTGCAAAGAATGGGATTATATAATGCAAGCTAATAGAAGGCCTTTTTTATAAAAGGTTTCAGAGTAGCAGCCATGTTAGTCTGTATTCGCAAAAAGAAAAGGAGTACTAGTGGCACCTTAGAAACTAACCAAATTAGAGACTAACCTTAGTTTGGTTAGTCTCTAATTTGGTTAGTTTCTAAGGTGCCACTAATACTCCTTTTCTTTTTTATAAAATAAATTTATGACTCTTTGGTTTCCCTGCCACTCTATGGTAAATTAAGGTTCACCACCACTGCTTTCAATCAGCAAAATTAGAGCGGAAATAAAGTAAAGTAAAGGTGTCACATTTTCGGTTGCTTTTCAGTGTGAAACTGAAAACATTGCTCAAACTAATAAAATTGAATCTAGTATGTGCTTGACTTCTTTCAAGCAGTGCCCTTCAAAGGGTGGAAGCTAGATAAATTAACAGCTCATTCAGTGTTGAGTGAAGTGTGTCTATCAAATCCTTGCTTTACAAATTTCAGTCGGTGTTGTTCCTCTCTGAAATGTCACCCACTCTTTGGCTGCAGGCATTGTTTAAAGAGATGGAATGTGAAGCATTTTTATTTTGCTGTCTCTCTTGGAGGAAAATCTGCCATTCTTCCCTTGGATCTTCTTCATCAAAGTGGTGATGCAAGCATTATCTCTGACACTGATTAGATAGTTGGCCAAATGTGTTAAAGATCAAGCTGACATTATGGCTCTGTAATCTTCAAAGGGGAAGAATACAGCAGCAGAAAAGGAAGGCACCATGGCAATGAGGAGCTGCTGTGTGAGTTGAGAAGAAACTGGGTCAAAAGTCAGTACTAAAGCTGTCCATAGCAACTTAGCAATATTTATTTATTTATTTGCCATTTACCAATTACGAATTCAGATTGTACGTCTGTCTGACACTGATGACCTGTCAAGGGTACTAAGCCAGCATGTCACAGAGCTATAGTTCTATTGTTGCAATTGGATTGTATGACGAATACCAAATGGGCCAATGTGCCCCTGGTGTAACTCCATTTACTTAACAGGAGATGCCCAGGAATGGATCTGGCCCATTGTCTTTGTCTCAGCATGGCGTGGATTCTTTAGGTTATTTATAGTCCCATCAGCGATTGTGTTAGTGGGTGAGAGTGGAGCTGTGCTAGCCAGGCAGCAGGAATATTCAGAAAGTGCCATTCCATTTGGCACGAGTTTGCTAGCTAGGCAGCAATCCCACTTTTGCTCCAGCCCAAGCTTGATTGGGCTACACTGCAATTAAACAGCCCCTGAGCCTGAGTCCCACAAGCGCCAGCTTCTAATTTTGCCTGGGAGTGCTCAACCCCTGCTCAGTCCCAGGCCCCGCCCCCACTCCAACCCTTCCCCTAAGTCCTCGTTCTCACTCCACCGCCGCCCACACTCCACCCTTTCCCCCAAGGCCCCACCCCCACCCACCTCTTCCTGCCCTCGCTCCACCCCCTGCCTCTTTCAGGCCCCTCCCCTGAGCGCATCCCATCCCCACTCCTCTCCCTCTTCACCAGCGCCTCCTGCATGCTGCAAAACAGCTATTCCGCAGCATTCAGGGGGCACTGGGAGGGAGGGGAAGGAGTCGATCAGCGGGGGCCGCCGACAGGCAGGAGTGGAGGGGGGGAGAGAGGGAGGTGGCTGTCAGCGGGTGCTAAGCAGCTGCTAATTTTTCTCTGTGGGTGCTCCAGACCTGAATCTACGAAGCATCTATGGAGTCGGCAGCTATGCAGAGTCCCAGGAGCCGGCGTCATCTGGCACAGGCCAGCAGCAGGGTTTTAACTGCAGTGTAGACATACCCTTATAGTACCCTGCACTCCTCTGCAGCTGCATTGGGTAAGTCACAGTCGTTCCCTTAACACGTTCCCTTAAAAATTATTAAAGGTCTAGAAAACTTGACCTATGAGGGAAGATTGAAACAATTGTGTTTGTTTAGTCTGGAGAAGAGAAGACTGAGAGGGGGCATAACAGTTTTCAAGTACAGAAAAGGTTGTTACAAGGAGGAGGGAGAAAAATTGTTCTTAACCTCTGAAGATAGGACAAGAAGCCATGGACTTAAATTGCAGCAAGGGTGGTTTAGGATGGACATTAGGAAAAGCTTCCTAATGGTCAGAGTGGTTAAGCACTGTAATAAATTACCTAGGGAGGTTGTGGAATCTCCATCATTGGGGATTTTTAAGAGCAGCTTGGACAAACACCTGTCAGAGATGGTCTAGATAATACTTAGTCTTGCCTTGAGTGCAGGGGACTGAACTAGATGATCTCTCAAGGTCCCTTCCAGCTCTATGATTCTATGTAGAGAGGGGATTTGGACACCCATTAATCTGTCCATTGTTTCCTGTCCAGGCTGGGATTTTCAAAGAGGACTAAGGGAGTTAGGTGCCTAGCTCTGATGGACCTACAGTGGTTGAGGGTGTGCTTCTTAGACGATGAAGGGGTGGAAAGGCATTTTTGTAAGGGGTTGAGTTCCTGTTGAACTGGTCCTTTAAGGGTGCTGAGCTGTAACAGTATTGTTAATGGTGTGTTAATGGCCATGAATCTTTTTATAGTTATTTAAACTGGGACAAATAGATAAAGCAAAGTAAATAAAATATTCCCTCAGGCCCCTTTGAAAACTCCAGCCTCAGTTTACAACAAGGAGATTATTAGTATTATTTGCATGTGCCTAATATCAGAGACATTGAGCCCAATTCTTATTACAGCAAGCCCCCTTTAAACCACTCTAGAAGTGTAAAGGAGCCTTACCAAAGGCATAAATCACATTTCTACTCACTTTAGGGCCCCTTTGCACTATCAGAGCAGTGTAATAAGACCTAACCCATCTCCTCCGACTACATCTGCACTAGAAATGCTGTGCCACTGTAGTACTCCAGTGAAGACACTTACTGCAGTGACAGAAGGGATTCTTCCATTTCTGCCATAAATCCAACTCTCCAAGGGGTGGTAGGTAGGTCAATGGAAGAATTATTCCATTTACCTAGCGCTGTCTAGGCTGGGGCTTAGGTTGACTTAGCGAAGTTTCTCAGGGGTGTGAATTTTTCACATCTCTGAGTGATGTAGCTAGTTAGGCCAGCTCTCTGTAATCTGAGTTCCTCAGTCCATATCTTCACTTAAGTGGTTGGGCATGTCAATTCTTCACAAAGGTCATCAATGAAGGAAGACCTGCCAAAGACCTGGCGCAAAAGTCATCAGCTTCCCAAAACCTGGTAAAGATCCAAACCAGGCATCAAACTACTGCCTGATATCACTGCTTTGTGTGTGTCAAGGTTCTAGAGCACCTAATTTTACAGCAAATAACACCAGAGGTGGAGAACATCTTGAACAAGAAGCAAATAAGCTTTCAACAAGGTTGAAACTCATGCGACCAAATACTTGCGCTAATCACATTAATCAAAAATGATCTTCAAAAAAATCTGAAAACAGGCGCTATTTCACTTTACCTCATTGCAGCGTATGATATGGTGTGGCACACAGGTCTACTTGTTAAAATATCAAAAGTCCTCCCACCATGGCTTACTGATTTCATTGAACTGCTACTCTGAGACAGATGGTTCATGTTACACATGGGTGAGAAAACAAGTGCTTGGAAAAAACAGATGAACGGGTTACCGCAGGGGCATGTTCTAGCCCCAATCTATACATCAATGACCTGCCACCAACCCAGTCACGGAAGTTCATCTATGCAGACAACATCTGCTGTGGGCTACAGGCTCCGACTTTCTCTGAGCCGGAGAAGACACTGACTGATGATGCTGCAGAACTGGCTGACTACTGCAAGACATGGTACCTTCAGCCTAGCACCAGCAAGACATTTCAAGCACATTCCACCTCCACCATGCCAATGCTAAGAGGGAACTAAAATGAATGGCCAGAGGCTGAAACACGAAACATATCCAGTTTACTTAGACATGACCCTCGACCGAACACTGACATACAAAAGTCACCTAAGCAAGATAGCAGCGAAGATCAAGGCATGCAATAACCTTCTCAGCAAACAGGCAGGAACAGAGGAGCAGATGCTTATGGGGAGCAGATGCTCCAATCCTAAGGACTCAGCCCTTGCCATCTCGTACTCAATAGCAGAGCACTGTGTGCCAGTTTGGAGTCGGTTGGCACACGCCAAACTTGTTGACGTGCACCTCAACTCAACAATGCGCATCATCACAGGAACTCTCTGACTGACTCATGTTTCATGGCTTCCAGTTCTGAGCCACATTGCTCTCCCTGACATCAAGTGGGAGATTACAGCTGACAAGCTGCTTGAGAAGGTACTTGCCAACCCTTGTTCAACAACCTTTTTAGTCAACCAGCTACGTGTCTTTCATCATGACATCCATTGTGGTCCATGCTGCCATGCCAGGACCTGACAGTGGAGTCCTTGTGGTGGGAAGACTGGTGTTTAACATCAACCACCAATCAGTTCCTTGTCACAGACCTTACTGCTGTCCTGCCTGGGTTTGACCTGCCCTGTTGTCAGTGGGCAATTCTTACCCAATTCCAGTCTGAGCAAGACCTGTGTGCCAGCGAGCACCGTGGGGGTCTTTGAAACAATCCAAGCTGCAGCTGTGGCACAGATCAAACAACGATACACTTTGTTGAGGAGTGCCCACTAACTACATTCAGCGGTGGGCCCCAAGAGATCAGCTTGGACACTAAAGCCTCAATTGCTTGGCTCATCAAATATTCAAATGCTAAATAAAACAAATTGCCCATATCTTGGTCATATCTCCAGCTTTGACTACTGAAACCTGTGTGCTCCTCAGCCTGTCCGTTGTTAGTTGGCCAATTTCTTATAGACAGAGGGTCTTGAGGAGGGGGCCATGGCCTCATTGCTTGCTATGGAAGACATTCCTTTTGCATGCAGATTATATTTTTGTTTATAACAGTGGGGCATTTTCTGTCAATCTTGCCACTATGGTCGCAGAAAAAATGGTAAAGTGAAGATGTTAAATTCTACTCCCCATATTATTAAATGAGATCCTATAATGGCTCCACACTTATCTCACCACAACCTACTGTAATCTCTGTGACCTCATTTAAGTTTTAGACAAGCCCTGGCATGGGGTCAGTGACTTACTCAAAACAAATTCCTTTGACTGTGCGTTGAGTTTTATCATATCTTCACAGTGGTTTCAGTAATTGGCTCTCTTCTATTACTCTGCTTTATCCTTTGTCTCCTTTGCCCCTGTAATAGTCTCTTGTATGAGACAGCTGTTAGTTACACTGAAGCTGCAGACCTTGCTGCTAGCATTTCAGGGAAAATCCTTAATAATGTCTGAAAGATGCCGATATACTGCTTTCTTTCTAGCATGTTTTCATTCCTCTTGAGGATGTCATCTCTAGATGACTCGATTCCCTCATGATGCATTTTGACCATGCATAAATTACCTTTGTCTTTGCATTCCCCTCTGACGGCAGTTGAATGTTACCCATCAGTTTTCAGGCTGAAACACTGTGATTTCCTTACTACTAGGACCTAACCCCAAAAGCCCATTAAAGTATTTTCAATAATTTCAGTAGGCTTTGAAACAGACCATGTTTGGGCCGGATCATATAAGGTAATGGAGCACACTCTTATGAGAAACAGAGAGGTCAAAAATATCAAATATGGGCGCCCAAAGTAAGATGTATCCTTATTTAGCCACAGAGAAAAATGCACCAACCCCCTTAAACTTACACTGAAGTCAGTGGGAACTACAGGTTACCAGCACTACTGAAAATCAGGGCACTTTGATTTAGATACCTAACTTTAGGCATGCAAATTGGAAATCTGGCTGCAGTGTAGGGTGTAATGGTGTTTACAGAAAAGAAGATTCTTTTGAGCAGATAATACACATTCTTCCAAGGAATGAAGCAATTTCAAATATAAGCTTATTTACAGTTTTACATTTCAATGATTTAAAAAAAAAAGTGTTTTTGTTCCAATTAAGGATAGTATGTACATTTGTTTCCTCATTTAATCTTGTGTCTGATTTATATCTTGTTTTCTTCTTTTAGGATCCAAAGTACAGAGATGCCCTGAGGAATTTGGTCTTCAACCACAGAGATCATTGTACACTTATCAGAACAAAGTATTATTGGCACAAGAAACTTGAGAGAAGACAGACTTACCAACTCTGTCTTTAACGCCAAGCCAGCAGTAGAAAACAAACTTTGGCTTTGATAATTAAAGTTTATTATCGCTGCTGAAATAAAAGCTTTGTTGTATAAGAAATAGATAAATAAAGCAAGGCTGCATTAACGTTGTTTCAGTTTTGCTTCCTTATTTCACTCTACTTGCTATGTCAGCACCATAGGCATATGGTGATGTCAGGACGTGGAACAGAAACTCAGCTGGAACAGATACTTACTTATGTAGGGTTTGGACAAGTTTGGTCACTTTTGCTTAGTCAGCAGCAAGTAGTTACTTTATGGGCTGCTTTTAATCACATTCAATATTTTTAATCATTGAAGCATATTTTCTACTGCTCTGCCTGTTTGGTTTACATGTCCCAAGCAATGCTCCTCCAATTTCCTTGAAAGGCTGTTCCACAAACTGATGAATTTCTCCATTAAGGAATTATTACTGTTTGCTATTTGTGTTACAGTAGCACTTGGAGACTTCTGGAAATGAGACCAAAAAATAATGTCACCGTTCAGGCAAACAGATGGAGGCACCAGTACATAGCTAACAGTATTTTGACCACTCTAGAATCTTAGCAACACTCTCATTGGCTGCATGAGTTACTGATTGAACAAAGAATCTGAGCTATGCCTGCCATTTGGAGGCTAGTTCAGTTTGGGTAGATAAATTATATAATAAGTAGATTATTCCCCTCTCCATTGGCAATTTTTGCTGCACTTTGTGCTGATTTTATAGCTACCTGTGAATGCTGCCTTTGTCTACCTGTAAAGCTGTAAAAAATGCCATTCGGGAGTGTTCTAGGGTCAACAGGAGTAGGGTCATCACAGCACAAGAGAGAGAGCATTTATTACAGGGTCGTTTCCCTGCTGTGAAAGCTAATGAGAATTCTAGTTGGCAAGAAGAGCATATTAGCCAGTCATTAGTGGGTGGATGGGGCAAACAATGACAGCTCATTTTGAAAAGCTATTACACTTGATCCAGTGTCTGACTAACTGGATAGGCACAAGTAGTAGACTGCTGCTACCATCATAGATAATCTGGGGAGGATTAATGAAATCCAGAGTGTTTCAGGGCAAACACAGTTCTCATCCTATGGTTGTGGCGGGGCAAATCCTTGTCCTCCACACCTCCCCACCAACAGATGAAGGAACTCTACTATGGGAACCTTGCCCAGGTTTCTTCCCTAGTAGCTCTCTCCTATGAGGGTTACCACAGAAGGGGCAATCTATCCCAGAAGGTTGTTTACAAAAAATCAAATACTATTTAAATCAGACCTGATTAAATATGAAGAACCCTCCACCATTAAAACTGATCCCTAGTAAAAGATGAAAGGTGACTATGAACATGTTACTGTTCAGATCACAAAGTTGTAATGCACAGGGAATCAATAAGGCACCAAGTCAGAAAACAGTTTTTTTTATTTGATTATTCATGTGGGGGGGGGGTGTGGAGAAGGACAACCTTGGGGCCCTGTTGCTATGATAAGAAACAAATATACATGTATTACCTTACATATCACAAAATATTAATACAGAAGATCAGTTTCCAATGGAGTAGATCAGGTTATTTAGTAGGAAAGCCTACCAATTGAAGACTGTACAGATATATTGGTAAATAAATGCCGATATGGTACATTCCAGATCACAGGGTTTCAATCCAAAGAGCAAACATAAGTTAAAAAATAAGCAAATTAAAATTCATTCAATTTCTGCTGAAACTGAATCAAATAACCAATTTTTAAACTGATCTATAAGGGCTTGATCCAAACGCACTTAAGACAGAAACTCCCACTGATTTAATTGGGACAGGAGGAGGCACAAACACTGACATTTTCAAAGGTATTTAGGTGCCTGGGAGTTAGGCATCTAAATACCTTTAAAAATCTATCCTTACCTGAATTATTCAGTTCGTTCATTAAAAGACTCTTCTTACTATTATTATTCATTTAGGCTCTTATTCAGCAAATCCCACTTAAATCCTTTGCTGAGTAGAAGCCTAAATCTTAAATCCATGTTTATTCCACAAATCACTTACTTAGCTATAAGCACCTGCTTACTTCCCACTGACTTCAAAGGGACTTAAGCACATGCTTAAAATTAAATATATGTGTAAGTGCTTTGCAATCTAGGGATGGACTTCATCATATGTGTGAGTGCTTTGGTGAATCAGGCTCGTATGTTATGGTAGTACTTAAACTCCCCAGTTGTGCCGGGAAGAAAGTACAAGAAGTATTCCCTACCATAGAGAGATTACATTACCTACTCCTTAATTTGATTCCACTGCCTTATAAGAGATACATTTAAGCACCTTTGATAAGGAGAACATTAGCTAGAAAATAAACACAAAATCCTAGCTACGACAATTCTTCTCAAAACAAGAATGTTTCTGTGTATAGGCTGGGTGGGTTCAGATGCATCTGGTAAAATATGGACTTGTTTACCTTTATAATAAATCTTTCCATTTAATCTTCAAACTTCTGGCATCAAGCTTTCCTGATCTACAGAAGCATCAAAGTTTATAATAAGAGTTTAAGTACAGAAGGATGGAACCAGATAGTAATACTGATACTGGAATTTCATTAGGTGTCTGGAAATGTTTTGAAATGTCTTAATTGGAATTTAATGTATCCACAGATACATAATCTTAAAATGAAGAGACAGTTATATGCATTAATTTAATCTCTGCATTTGTGAATGCCAAGGATTCTAGCAACTCTTTGCCTTAGAAAGACAATTTAAAAATGTTTTTGTTTATTTATTTTTGTAAAGACTACATGAGACTAGTCTAGTCTTTATGGGCCTGATCCAAAGCCCAGTCAAGTCAATGGTAGCCTTTCCTTTGACTTCAGTGAGCAATAGATCAGGCCCTGCAGGAATCCCTATGAACTTAGTTTACAGTTAGATTGTATTGTCTTCTGTCATTTTTAAAGAATCTTTCTTTATTTTTTTAGCCATTTTCCTCCTAGATTGAATTTCATCCACCACAACAAAGTTCTCAGTTTCAATATGAAACATGTTAGAAAAAACAAATCGTAAAACACTCGGCAGTTTACACCAGGCTGTATATATGGTGCCTGCTCATAAAAATAATAGAACAAGAAAGTAAAAGCAATAAAATAACAAAAAAAAAAAAAAAAAACGTCACTGCTGACCCACACACAAAATAAAACCAAAACCAATGCTGACTCTAGCAATCTCAAATTGCATTCCTGTGGACTCCTGGAAACACAGGGTTAGATAGGAAGTGATCAGTTTCTGAAGTGAGGAGAAGGGAGTTTCCATAGTTGGCCATTAAAAGGCCCATTTTCTAGTCCTTTAGTTCTTTTGCTCTTTTCTCCCACTGGTATCTCTGTCTCTAAGGGTATGTCTACACTGCATTTGCAGGTGAAACTCCCTGCCTGGCTCCACAGACTTGGGCTAGCAATCTCTTTGGTTATCCCTCTATGCGAGGATGATGTCTGCCAATGGGGTTCTTTGGTGGGTCTTTAGTTGGCTGGGGAGCCCATTTCGTGCCCTGCAGATTTTCCCACAGAAGTGACAGGTGTAATTTTGGAGGAGACATAGTTGTTGGCTGGAGTGTTGTGCCCCTTCTTTCCTTCTTTGTCACTTCTCTGTCTCATGAGCACGTCTGTTCTCCTCAAAGTGAGCTGTGGCATCACTGTGTTCTGTTCCGCGCTGAGTCCCCCCAGTTTGTTAGGTTGATGCCTTCCTTCTTATGGTGTACTTTCAGTATGTCTTTGAGGTGCTTCAGCTACCCACCCCGAGCCCCTCTTCCTTGACTTAACTTAGAGAAGAGTACTTGCTTTGGGAGGCTAGTGTCAGGCATACGTACACAGTGGCCAGCCCAGCAGAGTTGGTGTTTCATGACCTACACTTCTATACTGCTGATGCTGGCTGCAGAGAGAACGCTGATCTTAGTGCGTTGGTTTTCCCAGCTGATCCTGAGAATCCTCCTGGGGCAGCACTGCTGGAACCACTCCAGCCGCTTGAGATGTCGTCTGTAGGTTACCCAGGTCTCACACCCATAGAGAAGGGGGGGGAATGATGACAACTGCCTTGTAAACTAAGATCTTGGTGCCTGTTTGCAGATCCCTATTATTGAAGACTCATTTGAGTAGTCTTCCAAAGGATGTGCTGGCACAGCGGATCCTGTATTCAATTTCTGTGTCAATGCTGGCTGTTTGGGAGAGGTGGCTGCCAAGGTATGGAAAATGATTCACATTTTCCAGGGGTTCTCTGCTGATGGTGATTTGTGGAGTTCAAAGGGTAGTTTGTGCAGATCAGTTTCTGAAGTGAGTAGAAGGGAATTCCCGTGGTAGGCATCAAAAGGCCCATTTTCTGGTCCTTTAGTCCTTTTGCTCTTTTCTCCCACTGGTATCGCTACGTCCAAGGGTATGTCTACACTGCATTTGCGAGTGAGCCTTCCTGCCTGGCTCCACAGACTTGGGCTAGCAGCCTAAAAACAGCTATATAGACACTGCGGTTTGGGCTGGAGCTTGAGCTCTGAGACTGTGGGGAGAGGGGGTTAGACTTAAAAGTCTGAGCTCCAGCTTGAGCCACAACACCAAAGCAACGTCTTCACAGTTATTTTTAGAGCGCTTATCATGACCCCACTAACCCAAGTTTGTGGTCCCACGCTGGGAGGGTCACTCCCAGATGCAGTGTAGACATATCTTAAGACTCTCAGGAATCTTTTTTTCTTCATCCAACAATCTGTTACCCCAGAAGTCTTGTCTCCAGCTCTTTCCTTTTCCTTAACCACCCCGATATCATTACATTTAATATAGACTCAATAGACATACCTCTAGCTTGGTCCTGACCAAAACTAGTAAATATCTCCAGGGTTGGTGCTTGCCCTTACTGGCCTCCAGTAAATGTATTGGACCATACCCCAAGCTGGGATCAATGGACCTATGTTGAGCTACATAAACTGAGGATCTGGCATGTACATGCTGAGCAAGTTGCCCATTTCCATACCCTCTGCCTCACTCTACCCAATCCTCCACACTCATTCACCCACTTACCTATCCTATTTTCTCCCCAAATCAGATACTTTATCAGTAATATTTTCCTGGATCTTCACGGGACCAACTGATACCTTT